AGACGATAGGATATCAGTACAGTGGGCTTTAGGCCATTATTCGGCTGAAGCGATTGGATAAGTATTGATCATTACAGGACGAGATTAGAAGGTTAGGCATCTTCATCAAAATCGATCAATACATATCTAATCATTTCGGCGCAGTCTCCTTATTTACTGCATCCTAATCTATGTCCTATATCCTATCCTAATCCAAATCTATATCCTCTATCCATAAATCCATGACCAAATCTGCTAATCTACTACTCTGCTGTTATCCTAATCTTGCGATCTGCTACCCTACAGGGATTTAACGTTTACGTTGCAATCGGTGCGACGTCGCGCCTTCCTAATTCGACAGAGACCAGCTCTTAGGAATTAGTATCTGAGACAAAGCCTGAGTTGATTCCAGCTGCCGCTGTCAAACTAAACAAGAGAAAAGCAGACATCGCCATAAATTGGATGGGTGGCCTTCATCACGCGAAAAAGAGTGAAGCCAGTGGATTCTGCTACACGAATGACATTGTGCTTGGTATTCTCGAATTGCTGAAGTATCACAAAAGGTTGGTATTCATTGTGGATTCTGTTTTGGTCGCTGGTTAATGGTGTTGTTCTTTACAGAGTTCTCTACGTTGATATTGATGTTCATCATGGAGATGGTGTCGAGGAAGCATTCTATACTACTGATCGTGTAATGACGGTCTCGTTTCATAAATACGGTGATTTCTTTCCGGGAACAGGCGATCTAAAGGTGAGTGAAAGATATGTTGTTACTTCTTCAATCTTCCTTTCTATTTCGTATTTGTCCCTGCTCCTTTTATCTACGGGCGCATGCATAGTCGGTCATCTGATCGTAACGATCGTAACGGTCGCACAGCATTGGATGCGTATCGATCGTCAGACTTGCCTGAGTATTCGATCGATACGTACCTAACGCTGTGCGACCGTCGATCGTTACGATCGGACGACCGACTATGCATGCGCCCCGCTCCATGAGAGCAGAGAATAATAAACCAATTGACTTGTTAACTTCAAAAGACCCATTAAAGTTCTGATCTGCTGGCAATACAGTAAAAGTTAATTAATTATGTAATGTTCACAGTCGTGATGATGTCCTTGGTTGGACTATCTTTGGAGAACCACTCATTGGGCATGAAAATTAAGCAGGCTATTACTTGAATCCCGAATTTTAGTCCGCCCTTGATGCTACTGGAACGAAGAG